GTAATTAATACATCAATATATGAAAAATTCACTAAATTTGCCAAAATAACTGCTGCATCGGACAGAAAACAATCAAAACACCTACAGTAGTTTACAAAATTATAATACGAAAATATGCCTTGGCATAACAATACCCTCTCCCTAATCCTTGTGTCATCCCAACACACTCATTCACTATATACATAGTAATCCTGAAACTTGGTAGGTCTCCTCTTCTTCTGCTGCTGCCGCCGACGTACTGGGATGTCTGCAGAGTCCTCCCTTGGTGCAGCAGCCTCAGACACATCCTCAGATCGGTCTCCCTCTCCTGTCACGTCCAATTCCGCTAAGAGGGAACAGTGCTCCTCTTCCTGGTCCATGGTCGGGTTCCCTAAATCGGTACGGTCCAGAGTTCTTCCAGGATCTCCGGTCTGGTCCTCGTTGGTGATAGGTGGCTGCTCCTCAGAGTCTTCCCAGGTGTACTGCCCTGACCCATGATACTGCCACAGACGATTGACGTGGACTACCTGCGGCTGAGCCTTCCTTCTTCCCCTGATCCGGTAGGTCACATCTGAAAGGCGTTCCACTACAGTGTATGGTTCTTCCCATGGACTCTGCAACTTCAGTGACTGACCCTTCTTCCGCAGAGGGTTATACAGCCAGACCTTATCACCGTCCATGTAACAGACGTGACTTGCTTTGACATCAAGGGTGCGCTTCATCACCTCACCCGAGAACTCCAAAGCTCCTCGAACTTGATGGTGGACCTCCATCAACCTTTCTTGGAGGTTTTTGATGTAACTGGTGGTTTCTTCAGGAAGTTCTTCATCAGGTGGTCTTCCTGTCAGCAGGTCCACTGGCAGCTGTAGTTCGTGACCCAGCATCAGTTTTGCTGTTCCCATTCTGAGTGCCCCTCAACACAGTACTTGGCCAGTTCTTGTCCTAAGGTCCAATTAAACCTTTCCACCATTCCGTCTGACTGTTGCCGAAGTGAAGTAGTCCTAATCTTCTTTATGCCCAACAGTTTACAGCACTACCTGAACATAGCTGACTCAAAGTTTCTGCCCTGGTCCAAGTGCAACTCGTGAGGCACACTAAACCGGCAGAAGAACTGGTCCTCCAGCACCCTGGCAACAGTCGTGGCTTCGTGATTTGGGATGGCATAAGATTCTGGCCACTTAGTGAAGTAATCCATGGCCACACAGATGTACCTATTCCCATCGGCAGTGCGTGGCAGAGGTCCTGCAATATCCACTGCGACCCTCTCCATTGGTGCATCTGCACGGTACAACTTCAGTTGTAGCAGCAAACATCGCATGAACGGCACCATTCTTCCACAGCCTTACGGATAACAACCCAATAAAATCTTTGCCGCAGGCGACTCAGGGTCTTCTTCACTCCCAGATGTACACTGGTTAGATTGTTGTGCATCTCCCTCGGGATCTCTGACCTCATCTTCCGGGGAAGTACTGTCTGCCAGTACCTGTTGAGAGCATTGGTAGTCACCCACTTGCACTGCAGCAGACCATCCTTCAGCCGAAGAGCATCCCACTGCGCCCAGTAGTTTTTAGTCAAAGGACTTGCTCCAGAGATCGTCTCCCATGCTGGCCGCACTGAACTCTGGCTCATCCACTCGACCATTGGTCGCAGGTCTTGTCCTTCCAGCTGCAGCTTCTCAAGGCCTTCCTCAGTTATGGCTGGATCCTCCTCTACCGTAATGAGACTACACTTCTTGGGAACTGCCTCTCTCCTGCAACACTGCTGACAATCGAAATCACACTGTCATCGGCTCAGACTGTCAGCATTTCCATGCATCTGCCAGGCCTGTACTGGATGGTATATTTTGCTGATCCAGCTCCCCAATCCACTGTGTCACTTGTCCTTCTGGATTCTTCAGAGTCTTAAGCCACCACAATGCTGCGTGGTCAGTCAGGATGGTGAAGCTAGATCTATACAAGTAGGGATATAAAAGTCTAAACTCTTTACTACGGCGAAGAGTTCCTTTCTGGTCACACAATAATTTTTCTCTGGAGGGCTTAACTTCTTGCTATAGTATACCACTAAGTACTCGATGTCATCCTTCTTCTGGGACAGCACCCCACCGATGCCATCATTACAAGCATCACAGTCCAAGATGAATGGTTGAGTTGGGCCCGGATACGGATCACCGGGGAACGGGCCAAGGCATCCTTTAGCTGGTCGAAGGAGCCTTGACTTTCATTAGTCCACACAAACTTCTGTCCCTTCTTAGTCAGCTTGTGCAACGGTGCTGCAACCGTGTCGAAGTTCTTTACAAATCGACGGTAGTAGGTACTATGGCCAAGGAAACTACGCAGCTCCCTTATACACGTTGGCACTGGCCAATTTCTCACCATCGCCACCTTCTCTGGGTCTGTGCGTACTCCGTCTTCGCTTACTGTATGTCCCAGATATTGAACTTCTTCCTGGAACAAGTTACATTTCTTTGGGTTCAGCTTAAGGAGTGCAGCTTGGAACCGGCCAAACACTTCAGATAGCCTCCCCAGTTCTTGCTCGAAAGTTTTGCCAAAGACAATCACGTCGTCGAGATATATAAGGCAGACTTCAAGTACAAGCCTTCTAGAATCCCTTCCATGAAGCGTTCGAGGGTAGCTGGTGCATTGCACAGGCCGAATGGCATAACTTTGAACTGCCAGAGCCCTTATCCATATGAAAATTCTGTCTTTTCCTTGTCTTCCTCAGTCATCTTCACCTGGTGATACCCAGACTTCAAGACTGTCGAGCGTTGAGAACCACTTAACGCCTATCAGAGCATCCAGTGTGTCATCGATTCTTGGCAAGGGGTAAGAGTCCTTCACCGTCACATCATTGAGGGCACGGCAGTCCACACAGCACCGCATTGAGCCATCCTTCTCCCTCACTAGGACGACTCCTGACGCCCACGGACTGCTGGACTTTTCGACCAGACCTTGGCGAATAAGTTCCCTACTGCCTTCTTCATTTCCTGGCGACGAGTTGGCGCTATCCTCCGAGGCGGCTGCTTGATCGGGCGGTGATCCCCAGTGCCGATGTGATGCTGTACCAGGTATGTACAACCCAGGTCTAGGTCCCATGCAGAGAAGACGTGCATATACTTCAATAACAACTATTCCAGTTGTATCAATTTGGGCCTCATCCAGACACTGAGAGTTCCTGGCAAACGAATCCTGCAAATGGTCGGGAAGACCATTCTTCTGCTTGACCACGCATCTTCTTGCAGGCCCTGGGCTGCTGCTGCTCCTGGTCGACCTCGCGCCACAGTCCAACTACCACTCCCTTCTGTATTTTCTTTGGCCGGAGAGAGAAATTGGTCACAATTACAGGTACCTCCTCTGCAGATGGATCGACTAAAGATCTCCCCACCATTCTCAAATGGGTATGCAAGGCACCGTTCACCTTGCATGGCAACAGCACCTCTGATCTTCGGGGAATAACTACTGACCGCCAAGCTGTAACCTTTTGTGGGGTTAACGTAATGTAGGATCGCACTAGGACGGAGGTGAGAAGGGAAACTCACTAGTGCGATCCTACATCACGTTAACCCCACAATAGCGATAAATTCGTTGTTAAAGTTGTCTATTATTATATATTTGATTCTCCTTTTCACCGCTACTGCCACTCCATCGTGTTTTTGCCCGTTTTTGTTTGATTGGTGAATGTCACAGTTAAATGTTTTTTTTTCAGGTTCGCCATGTGCACTTATTAGTATTATGACCAGACTGATTTCGTTGTATATGTTTCTAAGTGATGTTTTGCACGTATTCCAGTCACGGACATTATGCTGCAGGATCTTGAATGTTTTCAATTGAAGATGATCCATTATTTCTTTTTCTTTGAGGGTTGTAGTTGAGGCAGTGATCTCATTTCGCGAAGTCCCGATATTTTCCTATTTAGTTCCTATCACCATCCAGACATGCCTGGGAACTTCTAGAACGTTCTACTCCAATCGAGGCATACAATAATAAGTAAGTAAATCATAAAAAATTATGCAATATATTCTATAAAATCTTACACAAATAATAAATCAATATATACAAGAAAAAAAATAAAAAACCTGCCACTAGTTCACAAAAATTATAATCCTAAATTATGCTTCGGCATAGCAATATGGTGGATCACATGAGGATTGGTCCCCCAGCTTATTTCACCTTAAGATTAACTACCATAACCTAATCTAACTTAAACTAAACTAACCCCCAGGTAGCATTAGGTTATTTATTCATAAGGTGAAAAAGCTAGGGTGGCTAACCTTCAGTTGATCCCGTAAGTCTCATTTCTAAAGGAAGGTCAAGGCACTTAGATGAACAAAATTTGACGAGAAATGAGTGATGCACGAGGAAGGGTTAACTTTAGGCGAATTGTATTTTACAGTTCACTGCGTTAATATTGTGTTGTATACTTTAAAGGCGCGTTAACAGCTGAGACCCTCCAGAGAAAGCACATAATGTATACGGTTGCCTTTCCGATAGTAGTCCAGAACGCTACTCTTCTGGAGTTACTTCCAGTTTAACTTAGACAAGTTTTTATCTTGGTGGTTAATAGATCTGAAGGACAACTGTCAGAAGTAAACACTATGCATTCTCTTATCAGCAATACTATAGTCATTGTCAGTTTAACCCTTTCAGCTGTGCCACATTTAATGTAAAGTTGATCACCGGAAAACTATCCCCCGTAACGTTAATATTATATAAACATTAATATCTAGGTAAATACTAAACTAGCGATATCAGCACAAAAGATATGCAGGGTACAATAAGCAGCTCATAAAACACCACCGTTCATTTCACTTACCAGATTTAAGCTACTCATCTATAATACCCTTGTACAGGAAAATTTAATGCATAAAAGACTATCAACGAGCCTATCAGTAAGCAGCATGTCATCAGTTGGTGAAGTGCACAGTGAGTCTGTGTGTGCGTATGTGTGTGTGTGTGTGGGCCCGTCAATGAGCCGTCCAGCCGGGACCTCCGCGCCATGGGCTGGTTGGATGGTTGGTTGCCTCAGTGTGCTCCAAACGTTGGTGGAAAGCGGGTGTTACGTGAGGTGCTTCTTCCTGACCGTTGGACGTGCTTTAATTTCCTCGTCTGAGGTTAGAGTTTGTGAGTGATATTTTAAATAGTCCATGTTAGTGTGTCAGATATAAATAAATCTTATTCCTTGAAGATTTGTTGAGGTCGCTCTTTGGAAAATAATGACCGCAGCAAAGAAGTGCAGATTATCAGCTAAGTGTCATGCTTTTGCTCTCTCCCGCATGTTGACGACATCGTACATGGTTTACCCTCATGAACACTATGGTTTACATAGACCCACACTGATACCAAAGATCACATCAAGCTACATAATATTTACACATCTTTCACTATATACTTGTTCCAGTAAATGCATTTTTTTACAGTATGATTATGCAATTGCATTTCGTATATGTTTTGTAATTTATCTTGGCAATGATTGCAAATTGTGCTATTGTATTTTATATTACATGTCAGGCTGGCAGAGCGGAAAGCATTATAATACGTTCATTTGCTTGGACAGTGATAGTGTTAGTGGTGGTATTTTAATGATGGGAGGGTCGCTGAATGTAAGCACTGAACTGCCTAGTGTCGGTTATGGACAGCTGTAATGCCGTGGGGCTTTATGGGTCTGAATATTTTTGCATAATTGAGAGTGTAAACTTTTTGTTGGATTTCATGAAGATTAGGCACCACCCGTTTATTTCATCTGATGATTAAACACCTTAATGGTAACCTTCCTAACCCCATCTTTAGCGTGAGGGTGTTTGATCATAAAGTGACAGGTGTTTTATGTTGGATGGGGAGTTTATGATTCTCAGCGATTATCCGACTTGTTTGTGTTTAAATGGAACCGGGTGATGATAACCCTTCGTCTTCATCTCGTTTTCTATTCGTCACATATACTGTAGTGTTGGTCGTGCAGTGCTTAAAGTAATTAATGCTTGGTAGTATTGAGAGAACAAAACATTTCGATTCCGGTATTATTGTCATTTCGGTCATCCAGGGAACAAGAATTTAGGTTAGGTTATTATAGTTCCTTGGTTCTATGGCTAGGTTAGTTAAGATCAAAATCATTCAAAACACGTCAAAAACCGCCGGAAACCTTTAGGGATGACCGAAACTATAATTTTACCTCGATTCCTACCACATTTCTTAAGCAAATTTATGGCTTAAATTTGAATTATGGCTAATGTTTACAGAGGCCGTACAAACAAAAACAGGATAAGGAGTGTATCTTGTTTGGGTACCTGCCGAGTTGACATGACAACCAGTCGGCCAGTGACGTGATAACAAGGGTGTTGGCCAATAATTGTTTTCATTTATATTGCTGGAAGGGCTGTGGACAGGTGTGGCGGAAGCATGTTTTCAAGAATCGCAGACTTCATCCGTGTGGTGCGATCTTATAGAGTGCTAAGGTGTACCATAATAATGATAGTTTGCTGCGATAAAATTGTGCCTTTCTTTTTCAAATGCTTAATAATGTTTATTTTTATAGGGAGACTTACAGAACACTAGAAAAACAAATACGAGCTTACTGTAGTCGCATTAAAATTTCACGGTAAGAGCAGCGATGTCATGTGTCCATTGTTGACAAGACAGCTTCGAGTCCTGCACTGAACTGTTTGTGAAAGCAAACCAACCTGTCTTTACTGAACGATTTATGGTTCTATTTTTATTAGGTTAGATTTGACTTATTCGTGTCGCCTGGTTCTATAAGTCTCTGAACCATATTGTTACCATCCGTCGTTTCTCTTCTAATGGTTTAGGGTCCGTAAAGTGCCCATCTGAAGATTCGGCATCCCAGTTTAACTCCTCTGAAATTTAAGGACATTAATGCTAGCCGTCAGAGATTACAGCATGTGCTCCACTCGTCGCTGAGTGATGGATCCCGACCAAATCACTGTAATTTCCATGAACCTAGCTGCTGGTTTGGTGTCGACTGTACCGAAGAGTATGGTGTGTGGTACTCATCCTTGATGATGCTTTGATTTAGGAGAGAAACAAAATCATCTGTCCACAATAATTCCAGGACTGATTCACCGGGATTAAATTTAAAAATGCCTCGTGCACACTTCTTGAAGAAGAAAAGTATTCAATCATCGTTTTCACGAGAAAAAAAAATAATGTCGGCTTGCTGTTCCTTTGCCTGTGTTCACAGATACACTGTATATTGCATTCATGGACTCATTTCTGAAGTGACGGAATTAAAAAAAAATGATTTTGGACGTCTGGCATTACATACAAAGTCATTGTTTTGGAAAGTTTCGTCCAGTTCATCTGATTATAACAACTTCGAACAAAGCATTTCACGTTTTAGAAGTCCATGTTTTTTTTTAAGCCAATTGATAACTGGTAAGGGAACCTCACAAAGCAAAGATGACTCGACAACCTGGAGGATATTGCGCGCCATGGTCTACTGCAATCTGACTGAATAGTAGGAAACCTCTATTTATAATAAATTCAGGTCAAATGAGGTCACTGTAGCACTAGGTAGTCATCTGAAGTGTAGCGTCCAGGAGTCCCTAATCTTCATGTCACCATGGAACTGAAGATTCCGCACCCGACGCTACCTGGGATGCTTATCCATGAGATCCGATTGTAATGACTGAAATAATAATAATAAAAATATGAAGCTGGTTCAAATAAAATACAATTTAACCCATACTTTGAGCTACACTGGCCTCTTAGTGTGTTACTTTAACGCATGCGCGGTTTTATTTATTGTTGTTCAGCATACTTTTTTTTTCGTTTTATCTGCGAATTTCACTCAAGGACAATGTAGTATGTAGGGCTTCTGTGGTAGTCGTTTTCTCCTTCTGTTCACTTATCATTTTAGTGGTGTCATTCCTAATAACCTCTCGGTTCTTTCATCACCCTAGGCTAATAATTCATATTTTTATGCTTACAATTTCTTCTAAAGCTACGACTGTACCATAATTATCAGTAAATGTTTCCAAAATATTTACTAAACACTTCCTTATTGTAGTTACGGGTGGTGAAACGCTAGAAAATACGAGCAAGTACTAAAAATTCTAGAAATGTTTTAATAATGTGAATAGTAGCGCCAAATTCCATACGAAACATTTACTGATATTATCCACCCTGGTAATGTTTTTCTCTAAAGTTCCCCTGATGATCGAGATGCGCTCTTAAATTTCCCACGTGGTTTGAGTCGTTACTGTATGTTCTTTAGTTCATGTTGGTTTTGTTCGTTTCGTAATTTTTTTTCGAGATATCCCCGTTCTTTCCAGACATGAGGACACATCGATCATTTTCCTGTTCATGTTGGGTTTTATTATTGGTTTATATTTAGTTAATCTCGCAAAACCCACTCTGGGGGATATCTCCTCATAATTATTAATCGGTGGCAGATTGCTGCCACCATCTCTTAATCACCAACTATGTTGGTAAGTGTGGTGAAATAATTAATTTCAAGGTTCACTATTACAAGTCACTTTGTATTTCTCACAAGTGGTGTAATTCTAGTTATCACAGGTTTATGTAACAATCAGATTACACTATTTACATTTATTAACGAAGCGAACTAACATCAGAGGAAACGGCAAGTTATTGTGAAAGGTTTCACAATTAAATGTACTTCAGCCACCTCCTAGGTCATTCCACTTATACTTCTCTTGTTTCGCCAGCCCACGAGTCTTGCAACTAATGTTGGAGGGTTCAGGGTTAATGTGGCACGACCTTTCCATGAAATTTCGCACACTCCTGCCAAACATATGGTTCCATATCTGAGGCACTGCTTTTCCTGGAAGTATTCCTAACTTAGTACTAACAGTTACCAGTGACTTGGCTGGCCAAACCCCTGGGCCACTTGGGTCAGGGTTGCTCCATGGTCTTATCAGTGCCAATAATGGAAATCTGTTGCACTTTGTTAAGTATCACCATTGAGTTATATTTTCAAGTTTGACAGTGTTCAATGTTTGGTTCTTGGTAAACTCCGACAATTCAGAAATGGTTTTATGCCAAAGTACGGAAGGAGCGGGGTATCAGGGTACAACATAGAACATGCAGCGACCTGGATAAATTATAAATAAAAAAGAACAAACCACATCAGGTGAATAAATTCTACTCAGCAAGAGCAGTATTTCGACATATATTTAATTACAGTAGATTGATAAGCATGCTAAAACTACATACTGTACTATCAACTATCAGTTCTGCAAGTGCTCCTAGTTTTAGTAATTATATGGTTAAACTTTCATGACGAAGTGTGTTCTGTATTATAGTAATAATAAGTGTCATGGACGTATTTAGTTTATTTCAGAAGATACACGAATTCAATTAACTTGTTGAAGAAAATTTGATATGAGAATCTTGGGGCATCTGTGGTCATAGTCGAGTTGCCAATTCATTAATATAATGTTCTTCAATTAAGCAAATATTCGAACATTTGGAAACTTCTCATGATCTAAAATATTGTTGAATTGTTTATTATAAAAATGCAAACTTTGGTTTGTTTAATATTTATCCTAACAGTGATACAGCCGAAAATAAATCCACCAATCACAATCCCCATTACATACATCCTTACTTTACCAAGTATTGCCAGGTAAAATTGCGAGTACGAGACCCGGGTGGGGTCAGTGCATCTTTGGTTGACTACATATAACTTAAAATTCTAAATATGTAGTCGTAAATGCCTCGATACTAACATAGGAGCTTAAGACTGAAAGAAACTGCAGTAGGCTTATTTGCCCATACTAGGCAGTCCTGTTTACACCCAACCCTTATCACTCGTAGTATATCTGTCCAACCTACAATTGAAACTTCCCAGCGGGTTCAAGTACGTTTACCAACCACAATGGTGCTTATGGATCCACATGAATTCAGGTGTTGCATTGTTGACTTTTAATTTTTCGAAATCCTTTTGATTACGTACGTAATCAAAGAGATTTCGAAAAATTAAACTGCATAAGGCCACTCAGGAATTTGTTCAACTTTGGAAGTGCGTGTTATGTCAGCTTTGCTCAATTAAAAAGATATTTTTTTCAGGATTGTGTGTTGGGGTGGGGTGAGGTTGAAGACTGCGCTAGGCGAGGGAAGAGTGTGAGTAGTGAGCGAGGGAGAGA